GAGGGGGGGGGAGGCTGGGAAGGGATGTGAAGGGTAAACAAAGGAGGAGGCTGCAATGCTTGATAAGAAATGTACGCATTAACCTGCCCATGTAATTGTAGCCCCCCTGTACAATGTGTTCACAAAAAATAAAAATAAAAAAAAGACTTCCTCCATAGTAGTTGGGAAGTTCTTCCCTAAGGAAGAGCCTCTTTTTAGTACCCCACATCAGCCACTCGACTTTGGGAAGGCAACCACCATGACTGCTCTCTTGGGAATTTCTGCCAATGTCTTGAAAACAGTTCTGGATTGTGATACATAGAATTCCCTCCAAGTAGGCTATAATTCTTGACATTTCTCTGGAAATACAGGTTCAGAAATTAAATATAACTTCCTAGAGAGTCTCTAAAAAGTAGAGATGATAGCCAAACTATTTTTATTTCTTCAATTCTGTCCAACAGACTTCTATTAAAACATTCTAAGATGAGATTTTTTTTATAGCTATATCAGTCTGAAACCCAGCCAAGATGAAATCAAGTGTTTCAATTGCAACTTCATGCATGGCTAATAAGAGCATGTTGCCAATGTTCTCACCTTGTATGTTCATCATAATTTAAATCAAAAAGTCAACGGTGAGGCATGTTATATAATGCATCTTGCCAAGTTCTCTCCAACAATCTACATGAGAGAAATTTTAATGTTGATTATGTTGCTTATATTATTATCTCCCCCTCACAGCAAGGTGTCAGTAGAAGATTGACGTGCTTACCTTCATACAACATGTTAATTTAAGTGTTGGCAGAATGTAGGAGAAAGCTTTTAAATTTTAACATTTCACTTTTCAATAATCATCCTTTGAGTGTTTGTGGGAGAGTAAAACTGAGCTGCGAGTCCTATAATGAGAATTAAGGAATGCACAACCTTGTATGAAATAATCAAGATACTCCAATATTATGATCTTTTTTGTACCAACTCTTTACATGTTATTTGTTTTTGTAATGGTAGAGTTCAAGCAATTATCATTCCCCAAGTTTTAATCAAAGAAAGGGGAAATGTGCTCCACATCAGTTTTACCTAATACAATTTGCCTGCATCATCCATTTGCACTTAATAAATGAAATATGAATGAACCCCTTATATTTCATAGTACTTTCCATAATTTATACATGACTCTTCTGAGTCAGGAGGGTAAGTCAGGAGGCAGCGGGCAAGGTCCAGAAACAACTATGTAGCTAACATATGGTTTAGTCTCCAGTAAAGTCCAGGTTGCTGTCTAAGATATCAGAACTCCTCCACTGGCAGAAAAAAAATTGCCATGTGAAATGCTCTCTTATCTGTTTTGTCTCTTCCAATACCAAGCAGCTATTTTTTCCTTCTGGAGCTCTCTCATTAGGTTTTTGACACCCAGGCAGTGAATGTCTGCACAGAAGGGAACAGAAAGGGACTAGTTAGGCTGTAAAGCCTAGATGAGAAAGTATCACTTGTGACTAAGAAAGGAGCCAGAATCAACACTATCTTGAGAAAATATACATGGCCAGAGAATTCTGAAACAGAGACTAAGGGGTGCATGTATGCCTCCAGACTGCCTAGCTGAGAAGAGACAGGATGATTATTCCTCCCAGAAGGGTAACAATAATAAAATAATACACCCTTCTCACTGGCTCATTGAGAACTTCTTTTTGCTATGGACATGGAATATTGCATGGAAAGTAGTCAGGAAAAAAATCGCATATTCTCTCTCTCTTCCTCCTTCCCTCTCTTCTCTGTCTCTGCCTCTGTCTCTGTCTCTGTCGCTGTCTGTCTGTCTGTCTGTCTGTCTGTCTGTCTCTCTCTCTCTCAGATCTCATGGCCCCACACATGTGGGAAAAGCAGCACACTGTCATGCTGCCTCCAAGCTTGATGTTCCAAAACCTGAGAGGCCCAGTTGTGACCTCCCCACCATTTACATTTAGGATGTGATATTTCTTCTAGCATTTCCTTAAGTGATAGGGAACAGCTTTTTAAGTAGTGTCTCTATTTTACAAATGACTTGGATTCCATAACTTGGCCTTATAGAGCCAAAATTCTAATCCAGGCCACCATGAGGCCAAACTCTATTCCACCGAGTCCTGTATTGCACGAAGGTCTCAAGGTTCTTGGCTCATCGAGGATCTCTGTGTGAAGGATTGTTGTGCATCCTGAGTGAACTTCAAGGGGGAAAAAAAAGCAAAACAAGAAAACTGCAACTGGAAAGGTCAAAGGAAGCTCTTAGGCAGGATAAAATTTTAGGAAAAAGAAAAGTGAAGGAAAAGGGGTCTATTTAGCTCTGTGGTATAGTGAGGAAATTGGGGAGTGGGAAGAAGATTGAGAGAGTGAGGATGTCTCTTCTCCCCTGAGGCTGTAGTGTGGGTGAAATGAGAAACTGCCTGTCAAACACCCAGCACCTGCCCAGAACAGCAAGCATTAGCTTTTCCACAAGGCAGAGGAGTTAGGGCCTGAGAACTATAGACAGAAATGAGACAGAATTTAACTTTTGAAACTAATGTGATGATATATATCCATGCTGAGCTCAGCAAAATAATCTATGACAGCCTGAATAATTCACAGGACAGCCCCCGTTCAGTTAGGTTCTTCCTGAGTGTTTGATTGAAAGAATGTATTATTTGCTCCAACAGTTGTCTAGTTTTCACCTCAAATCCTCTCATACGATGACAATGGATTGTTCTGATTAACACAAGTACAAGTCAGAGTGGGCCATGATAAACCCCCAGGAAAGGGAGAGCCAAGTGCGGAGGGACTGTATCTGCAATTGGTTGGCCCTCAGTGATGGTATTCAGCCATGCCAACACTTCTGTTAACCTGCTCAGTCTTTTTTGTTTGGATTCACTTCCAAAGCATTATCATCAGGTTATTTCACACAAAACTTCACATTGTTTGGCTTTCCGTCTAAAACACTGTAAATCTAACAGCATTGGATTGTTGATTATCTGGACAGCAATTGTCTGGCACTAAGTCACAGCTTCCTCTTTAGTTTATGCACGCGGGAGCCCCCAGGCCCATCTGAACCACCAGGTTACCTGTGGCCTAGAGTCAGATTAAACTCTCTGCTCTCTCTGAGAGTGAGATTTGTGAAAAAGAATTCCTCCTCCAGCTTCCTTTCCCCAGAGCACGCTGTCAATGTGAAGCCAACACTGCATAATTCTGAATAGGGGTTTCCCGTGGATATCTCTAGAAATGTCTGATCACACACAGGAAATAAAGAAACCGGGCACCACTATTTAATTCTTTGATACACATACTTGTCCTGGGACTGGGAGAATTAAAATTTCTGGTCTATCCATTCAATACCTATCAAACACAATACCTAGCTAGAAAAAATAAAGACTCATAAGGTTTTCATGAACACACATCTACTTGGTCATAAACTTTTAGAAAAAATAAAGACTCATAAGGTTTTCATGAACATTCATCTACTTGATCATAAACTTTTAGAAAAAATGAAGACTCATAAGGTTTTCATGAACACTCATCTACTTGGTCATAAACTTCAGACCCAGGACAGAATCATTCAGCAGTGAACACAGGTGAGTAGATTTTAATTCTTCAAATCCTTTTAGTCTGAAGATGTTAAAACATTGTAGCATCTTCACAAGCCTCACAGGGTACAATAATGTACAAATAAAGGCTACATTTGCAATTCTAAATTTTCTTGGCACCACATTAAAGAAGGGAAAAGAAGCAGGAGGAATTAATGTTTCTAATCAATTCTGTTCAACTCACTTTATCCACAATATTGTCATTTCAGTGTGCAATTAATCTAAGTATTATTTATGGGCCTTTTTGTTACATTCTTCAAAGTCTGGCATGTATAGCACCTTTCGGTTTGGATCTATTTCTTTTCAAGTACTCCAGAACCACAGATGGCCCCTGGCTTCCTTGTTGGATAGCCCAGATGTAGACAGAGCCACTTATTTTCTTTAGATTAACAAATAAGATCAGGTGGAAACAAAGTGGGTATGGATTTCCCATAGCTTATAAGGAACTGGGAGGCCATGCAGGAAAGTAATACCTTCCTGAAATATGAAACCCATACTCTAGGTTCTTTTCTGCCCCCAGTGGGATCAGTGACCCCCCCTCCCCCGACTCTACCTTTCCCTTTCTCTCTACTTTTCTCATTGCCTAACTAGGGTCACTATTGTAGTGTGGACCAGTTACAGTATAGAGAGACAAGAAATGGACTGCATTCCCAGGCTGTCTGCTGCTGCCTAATGACCTTGGCAAGTTACTTAACCTCCCTGGTCTGATTTCTTTTCTATGAAGTAGGATTCTTTCCTTCTTTGTTCTGAAAATTCAATGACATTATAAAATATAAACTCCCAAGGAGCAAGTAGATACTATAGAAGAGTTATCACATTTATAATGATCCATTTTCAAGATTTGTGCATATTTGGTGGAAGAGATAGTAGGGAAAAAAAGTTATAAACATGAGATTTTTAAAATATGTGCTAAAAAAAACCCACCAAGCTGTACATAATTTCTTCTTCAACACTTGGTGCTGAAAACCCCTCCTGAGTTTAGCAAAAAAAACATTGATTCAGCCTAAGGTACTCTGAGCCCAGGTCAGGCAGACATAGGAAACAGGAGAAAGAAAAAAAAAAAACAAATTGTTTCCATTTTCACCTGTTTTTCCAATCCTATGTGACACAAATGAGAAGGGGCTCATTTCTCGATTATAACCATGTGGGGATGTATCCAGGCCACTCTGCAACATGTCTAGGAAGCTTCACATGATTCATCACACGTGCAGATGACAAAAACTCTTAATATCCAGAGGCACAACTGGCTCAGCCCTTGTAAACCTCCTACTTTCCAATTGTGCCTTGCAGCTTTCAGAGAGCTCTACCAGACCAAAACCTTTTCAGTCTAGAACCAGTACTGCTAGTGTTGTGGTTTATCTTTAATGTAGTTAAAAAGAACTCCTGATCACAGCCTTGGGCACTTTGGGAGGAAAAAAAAGCTATAAAAAAGAAAGGAGAACTCACCAATTCATTCTCCTCTCCTTGGTTGAGCAAAGCCCGGTGGTCCTTATTGTTCGTGTCCATCTAAAGCAGACTGGTTAGGGTCCTTGAAGAAAATGTCAAAGCCACCTGGACTTCTGAGAGTTCAGTCTGTACTTGTCATTGCTGCTCTCAGGTGCTTATAAAATCTGTTGGCACATACCTTGCCTATTAGACCAACAAAGGAGAGAGAGAAAAAAATTCCTTTCCTCAACCACAGGATTGGTCTGCTAATCTATCTGTTTGATGTCTGGGTGTTGGTTTTTTTTCTTCCTACTGTTTATTTACTGAGCTAGATGTGAGTTAAAAATGATGAGGGGGAAAAATAGTTATTGAACTAGAAAGATAAATAATTTCACAGGCTCTCTATAAAAATCTCAGTCAATGAATGAGAATATCCACTTTGCTCAAAGTCTAAGACAAAAGCCTTTACCAAATGGAATTTACATATGAGAATATTAAAGGCAGCAAGGAGAATTGAAAGGAGGGAGTTTGACTCATGATGGGAAAATGTAGGCATCTTTGGGATCAGAAAATCCTGAGTTCTAATTCCTGCTCTTTACTGATGACCCTAGAAAAGCCACTTAGGAAAACTGAAATTGATGTTTCTAGTGTGTGAAATGTCGATGATGATTATACGCTTGATATTAGGACTTAAGATGATATTTGTAAAAGGCCAACTGTCATACCTGCCATACTCAGTAAGAGACAAGTAGTCATCATCATAACCATAATCATAATCATAATGTTTAATCAAGAAGAGAGATGCTTTTTAAAAGTAAGCTATAATAATTTTATTTCTTTCATTTTTGCTTTACAGTTTATGAAAAGTTTTCAAATAACAAATATACAGTGGGAGGAGGTGCTAGAAAAATAAGAGCATTGTCATTATGTCGAAAACGAACTTTACAACTTTGGTGGGGGGGGGAGGATGGGAAGGGATGGGAAGGAGAAACAAAGGAGGAAGCTACAATGCTTGATAAGAAATGTACTCATTACCTTGCTCATGTAACTGTAATCCCTCTGTACAGTATTTTCACAATAAAAAAAGAAAAATAAGAGTATTAAGGATTATATCTTCTCCTAAATTTGATATTGTCATAAAAATAAGAGGGGTCAATATGCTCATGATAAAGCTTTTATTATTTTATTGCCTTTTGTTCTATCAATCTACTCCACTGACTGACCATGGAAAAGTAATTCCCTAAGAATTAACTAGTAGAGGTTCATACTTTCTTTCTATTAACTGAGATAATTATCAGGTTCTTTGAACAGCACAGGAACTGCAGGAAAAATCAAGTGTTCTCTGGCCTGGTGAAAGATATGGCTGATAAGACTAACGGAGAATGAGGGATTTCATGCCACAAGGCTACTGAGGTACTAATAGTGAGGAAGTTACCGCATCACAAATGTTGTAATCCAAACTAACGTTAGCTCAAATTTGTAGAAAAGAGTTCTGATTGTAGTAAAGCAAAATTGTGTAGCAGTCATTATTCACTTTCTACCTGTCAGCGATTGCACATATTTCTTTCTAAATGACCACCCAGTTTGTCTGGAGAGAATGATTTCAAGTACTTGTTCTCCTAATGAGTTGTGATTTGTCTAAAAGTGGATGAAAGAACCTATTTTGATCAATTAAATCTATGATAAAAGCAACTGGGGGCAGGGACTTATGGGAAAGGTTATCCTGTCCTCGTGCTGAAAGAGAAAGCCATTGTTTCCTCCTTTCCTTTGCGAGTGCGTGTGAAGCTGCACAGCTTGGAGCATTGGGGTTATATGGGTTAGGTGGACAGAAAGAATCATCATTTCTAGTCTTCAAAGCTCATTAAGTGATGATCCAGTGGGTATTGTTTCACCTTCCTTTTTGGCAGGGACAAGTTTCATCATCTCTTCTTCCCGGGACCTAAAGGCAAGCAAGAGTTGGGTATTTTCTAAAAATTTCAAACCTGTCTGGCTGATTCCTCCACACACTACTATAGTTTTTCAATGCTTTCCCATGGTAGAAATATGAATCCACATTTGTGATGGTGAGCAGGCACTGGTGGAGTAATGGAACAAAGGGTCCTCTACACAGTGTTTAGAAGACCCTGATTCCTTCCATCTATAGTACTCGCATCTTCAACATGTGTTTGCCAATACTACGATGACTTGATGAAAGGCAAAATGCATACAGAGCCATACAGGTAGCCATACATACCAGCAAAAAATAGACCAGGAATGTAACCTCTCTGTATATCAAGAAGAAGAGAAGAGCTGGTGGTTAGCTAGCTGTCTCTACAATACAGAACCCTAAACAACTTCAAAAAGCAGTAACAATAGACCAGCCTGCATCTCTAAGGATTTCATCTGATGAAACAGCAAAATCATGCAGAGTTGACTCTTAGGAGAGACCGAGTGAGGAAAGCTTTCATATTGCAAATGGAAGGAAAATTGTGGAAACACAAAAGACTCTGTAGATGGCAACACAGTATGGACAGTTAGGCTACATGTTTGAGTGACATTGTGAGCTCTTTTCTTCAACCACAAAGGTGAGGGCAGTAGCTGAATTTGGGCACATGGCTGATCCTATAGCTGAATAATGAAATCAAACTCCTGTCTATCTGTTCATAAGCAGAGCCAAACTTTCTTGTTTCTTCCATTCAACACAGAATAGAATGAATAGTTAACAGTTACAGTTACCTGAGCAAGGTAATGAGTACATTTCTTATCCAGCATTGTTGCCTCCTCCTTTGTTTTTCCCCTACCATTCCGTCCCTCCCACCTCCTCAAGTACACCCTCTACCCCTCCCCTCCCTCCCTCCCATCCCCTACCCCTACCTAAATTGTAAAGTTTGTTTTTTGAGATCATTGTTACAATGGGTCAATCTGTATCCTTATTTAAACATTTTGCTTTTTCCCTTCCCCTCCCCCAATTATACCAATATCAAATACAGTGAAAACAGGGCTTATACCATGGGGGAGGGACATACAAAGCAACAAAAAAATCACATGGTACCTTATAAAGACGTTAGAAACAATAGCAAGGAAGAAAAAACCACTTGTGTCCCTATCTTGGGGTTCATTTTGCTTAACATCATCTTATCTGAGCTTTTCTGCTTGTCTCAGACATATACTAGTTATTGCAAATAAGGGAAACCTTAACTAGTTGTACAAAGATGTTTTTATTCAACATGCCAATTTATGAATACAATGCATCTTAGCCAATGTCACTCTTCCCATCATTTTTCTCCCCTATCTTTCCCAACCCTACCCATCCCCTCAAGTTCCTAGATCCATTTTCACAGATGTTTACTGAGTATTATGAGTGTATCCACCATAACTCCTTTCTCTCTTTACTTTTTTTAAATTTAATTTTATTGTCAAGGTGATGTACAGAGGGGTTAGAGTTCCATACATAAAGTAATGAGTACATTTCTTGTCATACATTGTTCCCCCTCCCTCAAGTTGTGAAATTCATTTCCAACATATTGTCTTGTGAGTATCGCTGTTGCATTGACTCACCCTTGTCCTTTGTCTCACCATTTTATTGTTTCCTTTCCCATCCCCAAATCAGATAAACATATATACAAGACACAGGGCACCAAAATCAAATACAGTGACATCAGAGGATAAACCAAAGGGGGGGAAAACAAAAGAAAAAAGAAATAACTTCACACAGAACATTAAAAACCATAACAAAGAGAAACATTGTATCCATATCATTTCGATTAACATCATTTTATATGGTCATATTGAGCTACTGTGATCCTCTGATAGAACTATCCTAGACATCTACTAATTATTACAAATGAGGGAAACGATGGAGCCTGTTTTCTTTGGGTCTGGTTTACTTCACTTAATATGATTTTTTTTACAAGTCTTTTCAATTTCCTTACAAATATAGTGATGTCATTCTTTCTGATGGAAGCATAGAATTCCATTGTGTGTATATATTACATTTTCTTAATCCATTCATCTACTGAGGAGCATCTGAGTTGGTTCCATACCTTAGCTATGGTCAATATGCTGCAATGAGCATGATTGTGCTGGTAGCTTTAGTATGGTCTTATTTGTTGACCTCCTCTCTTTAAACCACACTTCCCACGGACAATGTTAACATCGTAGTATTCATTTTGTTAAACTTAATTAATCAAAGGGATTACACCAGGGGAATCTATACCTGTATACACAGTATGTAGTCAATTTGACCATATATATATATGTATATATATTTACATGGCTCAGTATATATTTGCATATGTTTCTATTTATATCTACCTTCCACATATGGGGAAAATATGTACCCCTTTTCTCTCTGAGCCTGCCTTGCTTCACTCAATATATGTCCATCCATTTCCTTGCATATAACATGCTCTTTCTGAGCTCCTTATATACTTTGGTTATCACATGTTTGTTAGAAATAACTGGCAAAGATGTTCTACAATTTTGTAGGCATTTCAGCTGTACAGAAGCTTTTTAATAGAAATCTTGGTGCTTTTGTGAATAGGAGACAATGGACATTCTCATGAATAGCTATGGTGTCTGGTGAAAAAAATTGTTTTAATAAAATGAAAAGCCAGCAGCTGGTAGCTTATACCTGTAATCCTAGCTACTCCAGACATTGAGATCTGATGATTGCTGTTCCAAGCCAGCACAGGCAGGCAAGTTCATGTGATTCTTATCTGATTCTTATCTCCAATTGACCACCAAAAAGTCAGAAGTAGAGCAGTGATTCAAGTGGTAAAGCACCACTGAAAAAACTGGAAAAAAAAACCAAAGAGACAGTGCCCAGGACCTGAGTTCAATCCCCAGGATGGGCACTAAATAGACAAGCAAACAAACAAATAAATAAATAACACTATACATAAAGAAGCAATTTATAACTTTTATAATTATACTAAGGTATTTTATGATTAGAGAAAAGGTATATGCATTGTAATGGATATTAACATGGTACTAACCAATAAATGTATCATAATAAAAGAAAGACACCTGCAAATGGTAAAATATGGGTAGCTATTCAATCATTCTATTGATGTACCATCTTCGTCTCATGACTTACTGCT